CGGCAGGGTGGGCTGGGCACCTCGGCAGGGTGGCCAGCAGCTGCTGATGGTCCTGCCCTGCGTGTGCAGCCTCCTGCCAGCCCTCGCTGTGCAGCCAGCGCGGCGAGTGCGTGGAGACCATCGGGAGCTACCGCTGCCAGTGCCACCCCGGCTTCCAGGGCCCCGAGTGCACGGATGGTGAGACACCCATCCCCACCCCTCCCTTTGTCCCTTTGGGGTGACAAAGCAGGGTTCTGCCGCTCCAAACGGGCCGTGGCACCGTGTCTCTCCCAGCTGTGCAGTGTGCCAAGCTGGAGCCCGAGGGAGTGACCGTGAGCTGCAGCCATCCCTACGGAGACTTCAGCTACAACTCCAGCTGCCAGTTTGGGTGCCCCGAGGGGTTTGAGCGGCGAGGGGCGGCCGTGCTGCGGTGCCTGCCTTCCCAGGAGTGGTCAGCAGACATCCCCACCTGCACAGGTAGGGCCTGGCGGGGGCTGACAGGGACCCTGCAGCTGGGATGCAGCATTGATGCTTTGGGGGGACCAGCCCCGTGTGCCCAATGCTGTTCGGGCAAGTGTTGCTGTACCCTTACCTGTTGAGGAAGCATCTCCCGGTGCTGCATGAGAAGTGGGATTCCCTGGGGAGCTGCAATGGGCAGAGCAGCTGTCAGCTGAGGCCCTGTTCTGCCTGGCTGTCCCAGTGGCCACGAGTCCCACTCAGATAGCAGCACCCTGTGTGCACCAGGCACAGGGTCAGGATGGTGTCCTGGCTCCTCTGTCAACCCTGTGGCACCGTCTCTCTGCCCTAGCCCACCCTGATCTGCCTTGGGAAGGCATTTGGCATCTTGGGAAAGAGAAAGGGGGCTGCTGTCCCACAGCCAGGGGAAGGGTGTATCCTGGCAGGGGTGGGACACATTCAACAGGCATAAGGACTCAAGAAATGACGTTAGAAATAAGCTGGGAGGGACAGAGTGTGGCAGGAAACCACACAGGAGAGAAAGCTGTGGTATGTTATGCTGCAGGGGCAGAGAAAGTCTTCCTTCAGTGGCTTGAGGGTTTGCAGCCAGGCACCAGGCATCCCAGAGAACTGCCAGGCTTTTTGGGGGTGCAAGAGCCTCACTCCACCTTTCCTGTACTGCTCTGTGGTACACCTGCAGCCTTGCACAAGGACGGGTGGGTGGGGGACTGCAGCAGACATGGGACACAGATGGGGACCCTCTGTAGTGAGAAGGAATGGGGGTGGGCAGCATCTTTGTATAAATATTCTTTTTAAAAGAAGCCTGCCTTGAGTTAGTGCTGCTGCTGCTGCCTGTGCAGGGCGGGTCTGTGGTCCAACCCAGGACCTAAGGTAGCTGAGAGCAGCAAAACTGTCTGCAGTTAAGGGGAACAGGGATGGAGACTGCTCTGTAACCAGTATCCCCAGCAGGGGCAAGGGCAGGAGCTGGCTCCCAGTTTTGTGAAAATCCCCACAAGCAAGCTGGGCTGAGCCTGTGTGCTCCAGGCTTTTTAAGCTCCCAGGGGCTTGCTTTCCCAGCTTGTTGTTTTTTTTCTGCTGGCTGTAATATGATTGATTTTTGTTTTATTACAAACAGTCAGATGAGTCAGTTGGTTGCCTGTGCTGATAACAAAATGGTGTTAGCAAGCATTGCCAGCTGGGCTTACTCCAGAAACAAGAGCAAGGCTGCAAGCAAGGCTGATGGTGCTGCAAGGACAGAGGGACAAGGCTGCCTGCCCCAAAGGGGCTGGGTCAGCTGCTCCCACCTGCACAGCATGCTCACCAACAGGCACCTCTGGGGACTCTGGGCAACCAGAACTGCCTGGAAAATAGCCAGGAAAGGAAAAGTCCACCCAGGAAAGAGCTTGGTGTCAGTCTGAAAGCAGAAGATGCAGCGAATGCAGTCTGTCTCTGCTGGGCTGGGTGGTGTTAATGCCCTGCTGACCTTTGGTGGCAGCAGAGCCACTCACCCCAGAAAACCTTGGGTATTGCCCTGGCATGCAGCAAAACACACTCTGGGCACAACCAGAGTTGTTTAGCCACTGCCGTGGGTTACACACCCAAAGCCATCCTCCTGCCGCTGTGACAAGGACAGAGGCTGGTCTCTGCTCCAGGAAAGGGAGGGAGGTGAATGGGACTGTAGCAGCTGTGGTCCTTCCTCCCAGGGGCTTTGGCCCAGGGTACTGAAAGGGATAAACAGGGCTCTGGCAGAGCAGCAACTTTGTCCCCCCAACAAAATCACTTGTAGGGCAGAAAAATCATTGCAGCAACTACAGATTTGAAGAGGTGAGTCTGGGTAAGATTTGATTTGGATTCAGCCTGAATCATGAGATTTAATCTCATCTATCCCATCTCTGAGATCTGCTCTCCCATTGCAGCCATCACCTGCCCAGTGCTGAGAGCTCCAGAGCAGGGAGAGCTGAACTGCTCCCACCTCCATGGGAAATTCACCTTTGGCTCCACATGTGCCTTCTCCTGCCAGACAGGGTTTGTGCTGAGGGGGCCAGAGAGCCGTGAGTGCACAGCCACGGGGACCTGGACTGGGGATGAAACAAGATGTGAAGGTAGAGCTGCTGCTAGAGGTGTCACAGCCCTCTGGCTCACCCTGGAATATTCTCCAGTGTTTTTGTCCTTTCATTCCAACAGTCTAGCCTTGTAGTCCCCAGACTCCTGCTCAAAGTGTTTCTCTGTCCCTGCAGCCATCACCTGCCCAGTGCTGAGAGCTCCAGAGCAGGGAGAGCTGAACTGCTCCCACCTCCATGGGGACTTCACCTTTGGCTCCACGTGTGCCTTCTCCTGCCAGACAGGGTTTGTGCTGATGGGGCCAGAGAGCCGTGAGTGCACAGCCACGGGGACCTGGACTGGGGATGAAACAAGATGTGAAGGTAGAGCTGCTGCCACAGCTCAGGGTGTCACTGCCTGTGGGGTGACTCTAGGGTTTCCCCAGTCTCTCAGACACCTAACACTTTAGCCATGTAGTTCCCTGGCTCCCCCTTGAATGTTTCTCTGTCCCTGCAGCCATTACCTGTCCAGTGCTCAGTGCTCCAGTCCAGGGAGAGCTGAACTGCTCCCACCTCCATGGCAACTTCACCTTTGGCTCCACATGTGCCTTCTCCTGCCAGGCAGGGTTTGTGCTGATGGGGCCAGAGAGCCGTGAGTGCACAGCCACGGGGACCTGGACTGGGGATGAAACAAGATGTGAAGGTAGAGCTGCTGCTCAAGGTGCCACAGGCCTTGGGCAGACCCTGGGATGTTTTCTTTTTATTCCTCTCATTACAAGAGTTCAGCCTCAGTCCCCAAGCTCCTGCCTGAAGTGTGCTTCTTCACTCCGCAGCCATCACCTGCCCAGTGCTCAGAGCTCCAGTCCAGGGAGAGCTGAACTGCTCCCACCTCCATGGGAACTTCACCTTTGGCTCCACATGTGCCTTCTCCTGCCAGACAGGGTTTGTGCTGATGGGGCCAGAGAGCCGTGAGTGCACAGCCACGGGGACCTGGACTGGGGACACCCCTCGCTGTGAAGGTAGAGCTGCTGCTGGAGTGATGGCCATCACTAGCTTTGGGGTGACACTGTGCTGTTCCCCAGCCCCTTGGTCCCAGAATTTTAGTCTCCCAGTTCCCAAGCTGCTGTTTGATGTGTGCCTCTTCACTCTGCAGCCACTGCCTGCCCGGTGCTGAGAGCTCCAGAGCAGGGAGAGCTGAACTGCTCCCACCTCCATGGGAACTTCACCTTTGGCTACACATGTGCCTTCTCCTGCCAGACAGGGTTTGTGCTGAGGGGGCCAGAGAGCCGTGAGTGCACAGCCACGGGGACCTGGACTGGGGTTGAAACAAGATGTGAAGGTAGAGCTGCTGCTAGAGGTGTCACAGCCCTCTGGCTCACCCTGGAATATTCTCCAGTGTTTTTGTCCTTTCATTCCAACAGTCTAGCCTTGTAGTCCCCAGACTCCTGCTCAAAGTGTTTCTCTGTCCCTGCAGCCATCACCTGCCCAGTGCTGAGAGCTCCAGAGCAGGGAGAGCTGAACTGCTCCCACCTCCATGGGGACTTCACCTTTGGCTCCACGTGTGCCTTCTCCTGCCAGACAGGGTTTGTGCTGATGGGGCCAGAGAGCCGTGAGTGCACAGCCACGGGGACCTGGACTGGGGATGAAACAAGATGTGAAGGTAGAGCTGCTGCCACAGCTCAGGGTGTCACTGCCTGTGGGGTGACACTGTGACGTGTCCCAGCCCCTAGGTCCCAGCAGTGCAGTCTCCCTGGCTCCTTTCTGAGCTCTGCCTCTTTACCCTTGCAGCCACCAAATGCGCAGCACTGAGCACTCCAAAGATGGGCCAGGCTGCCTGCTCCCACCTCCATGGGAACTTCACCTTTGGCTCCACATGTGCCTTCTCCTGCCAGGCAGGGTTTGTGCTGATGGGGCCAGAGAGCCGTGAGTGCACAGCCACGGGGACCTGGACCGGGGACACCCCGCATTGCAAAGGTAAATCCTGTGGTCTCACACACGTCTGGGAGGGCTCTGCTGCAGCAGAGTGCTCTCCCCGGCACCCTGGGCTGTCAGTTTATCCCCTGGCTTGCCAGCCCACATGTCCCCATCCCACTGCCTTCAGTCCTGTCCTCTTGATGCTCCTGCTGTGCTTTATCTCCAGCCATCAGCTGCCCAGTGCTGGCTCCCCCCAGCAGAGGCCAGCTGAGCTGCTCTCACCTGCACGGGAACTTCAGCTACAACTCCACGTGCAGCTTTTCGTGCCAGGAGGGGTTTGTTCGGATGGGAGCAGAGATGCTCCGGTGTGAGGCCACGGGGAACTGGACCAGGGATCCCCCTGTCTGTGCAGGTACAGCGGGACCCCCCAGCTCCTCTGGCACTGCCGAGGTTCCAGCTTTCCTCCAAGCACATCTTGAATGTGGTGGAGAGGGAGTCCCCAGGGCTGTGAAGCCCTGACAACATCCTAACGGGTGGCTCTGTGGCTTTGTTTCAGAGGATGGTGCCGTCCTAAAGCAGGTCCTGGCTTACAGCAGCGGCTCAGCGCTGGCAGTAGCTGGTGTTGTGCTCTCTGGGGGGCTCATTGCCCTCCTTGCCAGGAAGCTCAGTGACAGAGGTACAGAAATGCCCCCTGCAGCCCACCCTAGCTTTGGCCAGGGGCTCTCGGGCAAGGTGGTCACAGTCCCAGGGGAGGCTGGGGAGATCAGGAGAGTTTAACAGTGTGACTGCCTCCATTCACATGTTTTATCTGCTGAGTTGCTTGGGTTCTGGGCAGTTTGTCCAGCTCAGTGTCAGCAGCCAGGTTTGGAGGGTAGAGCCAGATAATCACTCTGAGGAAGGCAGCAAACGCTTGTTAAAGCAGCCCCACCCCATGCTTGCTAAACTCTGCTCAATTTCAGATGCTGCTGCTGCAGCTTCTCATGACCTTCACTAAACAGAGCTGGTTATTTCTTTTCTGTGTGCTTTATCCCCATGGACATTTCAACACCGTTACCAGAGGAGAAGAAGAAGCTCCTGAAACCCACCAGGTGAGAGCCGTGCTCTGCAGGAGGGTGGCTCTGCCCTGTGACTGTCACAGCCCTGTGTTCATCCTGCTGACACCCAGACCTGCCTGCGTGGGGCTGTTTTTATACGGGAGAATGCATCATTCAGCACTGGCGGGGTGCTAACCCCTGCCCTTCACACACTCCTGCACTCCCCAAGGTGACACCCTTGTGCTTGCCTTCCAGCGACCTGGGAGCGCCGGGCACCTTCACCAACGCAGCATATGATGCCAACCTGTGAGGTGAGGGCAGGTGGGACCCTCGCAGCTCAAAATTCACCCGGGGTGCTCCTGCGCGGGGCCAGCCCTCGGGACGGATGTGGGTAACACCGGCTCCATCTCTGCTGTGCTGCCAGGCTGCCCGAGTGAGAGCCACCGTGTGTCCCAGGGCTGCAGGAGCTGGAGCACAGAGGGGCTCCATGCCCGTGCTGGTAGCCTGGCCCTGGGCAGTGCCACCACGCTGTGTGCAGCATTCCCTGGGCAGGGGAGCTGGGCAGTGTCACCACGCTGTGTGCAGCATTCCCTGGGCAGGGGAGCTGGGCAGTGTCACCACGCTGTGTGCAGCATTCCCTGGGCAGGGGAGCTGGGCAGTGTCACCACGCTGTGTGCAGCATTCCCTGGGCAGGGGAGCTGGGCAGTGTCACCACGCTGTGTGCAGCATTCCCTGGGCAGGGGAGCTGGGCAGTGCCACCACGCTGTGTGCAGCATTCCCTGGGCAGGGGAGCTGCCTCCAGTGCGGGCAGTGGAGACCCAGCGGGGCCAGGAGCAGCGTGCCGGGGCAGCCTGCAGCCAGCACTGGGCACGCTCCCCCCGGGGATCCGCACACTCCCCGAGCTCCACTCGTGCTCCCCCCGGTGAGCTTGTGTCAGCGGGGTCTGAATAAACACCTTTGTCTAAGTAACGCCTGCTGTGTGCCTGGGCCGGGCTGGGGGAAGGCTTCATTAAATAACCGACAGAAGCAGGGAAATGACTCTTCCCCTGGACTGGCCCGGCTGAGGCCACTTCTCCGCTGCTGTGTCCGGTCCGGGGCCCTCGGCTCAGGAAGGGCGCTGGGGTGCTGGACAATGTCCAGAGAAGGCCAGGAGGCTGGAGAAGGGGCTGGAGCACAAGTGCCGTGCGGTGCCGTTCCGGGCCGTGCGGTGCCGTACCGGGCCGTGCTGTGCCATACCGGGCCGTGCGGTGCCATACCGGGCCGTGCGGTGCCATACCGGGCCGTGCGGTGCCGTACCGGGCCGTTCCGTGCGGTGCCGTTCCGGGCAGGGCCCCGCGGTGCCGGAAGAGCCGGCTGAGGGAACTGGGGTTGTTTAGCCCAGAGAAAAGGAGTTTAGGGAGGACTTTATCACTGCCTGAAAGGAGACCGGAGCCAGGCGGAGTTTGGGTTGGACACTGGGAGGAATTTCTGCACAAAAGGGACACCGGAATGGGCTGCGCCGGGCGGTGCTGGAGTCACCGCCCCCGGAGGAGTTCGCAGCCTGGGCACGGCGCTCAGAGCCGGGGGCTGGGGCACGGCCGGGACTCGCTGGGCCCTGAGCTGGTCCCTTTTCCAACTGATTCCCCCGAGCGCGGACAGCGGCCGTTCCGAGCCGAGCCGTGCCGAGCCGAGCCGAGCCGAGCCGAGCCGAGCCGAGCCGTTCCGGGGCGGGCCCTGCGCTGCCGGAAGCAGACGTGTGCGTCGGCAGGAACGGGAAGCGATGGCGGCGGCCGAGGCCGAGTGGGAGCCGGCGGGGCTGCTGCCCGCGCCGGGGGGCGGCCTGGACTGGGGTGAGGGCGGTTTCGGGGGTCCGGGAGCGGGGCTGGGTTGGGCCGGGCCGGCGCGGAGCTCCCCGGCGGGGCCGGGCCGGCGCTGAGCCCGCTGTCTCTCCGCAGAGGCCGTGCTGGGCGAGGAGCTGAGCGAGCTGCTGGGCGCCGCGGCCCCGAGGGACGAGCCGGAGGTGAGTACCGGGCGCGGCGGGCCCGGGCCCCGGGGCAGCCCGGCAGGAGAGCGTGGCCGCCCGGGGCTGCCCCTGCGGGGGCCGATGGCCGAAAGCCGGCGGGGCAGAGCGGGCAGGGTGCGGGCAGGGTGCTGAGGGAAGGGTGCGTGTGTTACACCTACACCCAGCCGGGCCATTCTTCATCCCTTCGCCTCTTAGATTGCTGCTTCTTTTCTTCTGTAGCGTAGGATTTTCTCCAAAAACCTTTGCTTGCGACCTTATGCATTAATCCGTATCTTTTTCGCTGTCCGCTTGTCCGGTGTGCTTTTTCTCTCCCGGGGCGTTTTCCCCGTGGATTCTCCTCTCCCGGCCCTGCCGTGTCCCTGCTCGCTGTGTCCTGATCCGGCAGGAGCCGGCTTACAGGCAGTGTGAAGCCCGGGTTGTTGGGGTGTTCCTACAGGCGTACAGCCCGTCACCGCACGGCATTTGGGAACAGACCGGCTGTACAAGGGACAGGCATTCCCCAGCAGCAGCTCTTGCCTGGCTGAAGACTCTTAGTGCACAGCTCACGTTGTGGTTTTTTGGTCATTCTTCCTTTAAATGTACTGTGTTGAGCTTTCTTTTCATTCTAACTTGTAAGTACCCTTATCTATGCGGTGTTTTTGGGCCTCCCTTCTAATTGCAGTGTAGTTTTTAGAAAAATCTTTG